ATCCCTCCTTGCTCTTGACATGTCTCCTCCTTGCCTCTGAATTTCTGCATATACTCGAGGTTCCACACAAGAGGTGGAAACAAGCTTTGGGGTTTCCTAACTAGGAATCAATAACTTGGGCCTAAAAGGTAAAAATATATTAAAGTAGGGTGGAGAGTCTTCCTCCATATGTTTGGATTTTAGGAAAGTATTTGATATGCACTGGGCACACAAAGTCTTGCTACTAGTACATTTTCTCACTCTCAGCAACAGAGGGAACACAAATATAAATAAAGTGCCTACCACTGCCTACATTTTTTAATGTTTCATTGGAGTAGAGTTTGCTCTAGAAATGGAGACAAATTTTACGAGAAATTTATCAGTAAAGCTGACTTCAACAAGACCCCAGACAATAACCCCAAAGTTATTGTCAGACTCAGGATTAGGTCTGATTCTTCTCTCTCTGTTTGTCCACAAGTGGTATTTCATGTGCATCAAAAGATAGCTATTGTGCCCTTGTTCATATCTGAGTTATTAATTGACTAGATTTTTATGTACTTCCTGTTCACAAAAGTTTATTTTAATTCAAGCAATTTTGAAAAGTAGAGCTAATATTTTACAAAACACTACATTTTCATCTCTTCTCTACAAATGCCCTTGTAAAAATAAATGATAGAGTAACTTTCATATATTGATATGCCAGCACCATTAGTTTATTAGTATGCCCTTTTTCGAGTGAGAAAGTCTTTCAATGTATTATTACTAGCATTTTCATTTATTAGTGCAGCTTGTTTTGATAAAGACAGAAAATTGCAAGAGACTGTATATTATTGATTGGTGGAATTATGAAGCAAGACTATAAAGCAGTAAGTTGAGGTAATAAATTAATTACCCTCCTGCCTAGTTCAGTCCCAAGTCTGTTCAAGTGAAGGATATTCCACAAATAAACTGATAAACTCAGAATACATAAACTTTGTCTTCCACTGCTTTATTATATATGAATAAAACTCATTATCTGTTTTGTTTCAATAATAATTGTATTTTGTTGTCCTATATGTTCCCTTTGCTCTGTTCATCTTAAAATGTGTTGTAAAAGCACACATAAATAGGATAAACAAATTAAGCTGTTTAAATAAATTAATTTACTCTGCAGCTCTGTATTCAAATCTTATATGCTCACTGGATTTCATTTTAATGAAACCCTTCAAAGAACAATACATTGTATGCCAAACAGTGAAATTATATATTAAATGAAACGATTAAATATGCTGTGTTCCAATTTATACCAAAGCTGCACCCTGTGCATGCTTAAATCCTCCTAAATCTAAAGAAATAAATCTATTGCATTCTGAAAACATCTAAATTATAATCCTCCACTTGACTACTTAGTTCATGGGCATGTAAACACAATCAAACTCAATAATAAGCCTAGAGCTATGATGCAGTTAAACTTTTCTCATCAGTGTTTTAACTTAAAAAATAAAGACTATTAAAATAGAATCCAGTTAGATGTCTTGATACATTGTTTTTAGAGGTCTTCACCTCTTCCATTAATAGGATATTGAAACCCTCTGCAATCCCAGTAGCAAGTACAGCAAACATTTATGGGAATGTATCCTGAACAGTTCTATTGATTAGTATAGATAGACATGTTGTTAATTTTCTTTGGAATGTATTCAACAAAATAAATGTTCATATGGCTACTGTGCATACTGATAATGAAAGCCACTGCTAATGCAGTTTGGGATATAAGAAACAGGAGAGTGCTCCTTCTATGAAACACTTTTATGAATTACCAGTGACAGCTTTTCATGTCCTCTCCTAAGACAAATTCAAATTGTATTGTTATATTAGGCTTACTTTATTTTTTATAAAAAGATCTCTCCAGATCTATTAAAAAAATCATGATTTTCAAAGAAAGAAAATTAAAATATTTATGTACAGCTAATATATACCTATGACAAGCCAAACATGGAGATTTTTTCAGTAGAACTCTTACATGAATAACATCCTTAGTGAATAGCAAACTTTTATAAATATTTGCCCTTGTTAAGAAAAGTGTTTCTTATTTATTGATATATAGATATAGATGTAGATATATAGATAAAGCAGGTAGTTCATATATACATAGACATCAGTGATTCTCAACCAGAATGCCCTGACACCCTAGGGTCTCTTGAGACCTTTTCAAGAGTAGTGTGGGATGCCATACAATGTTAGCACTGTTAGGTATACAAACATGGTGTATAAACCAAGAGATTTCATATAGGAATCCACACTGTCAAAAGTATTCTGACAGGTTGTGATCTTTGTGAGTTCTTTGAGAATTGTTTAATTATATTTTATAGTAAAAAAAGCAGTGAAAAATAGGATCTGGCATTTTCTGATGGGGTTCCCTGAGTCTAATGAAAGAAGTCTTGAGTCTCAGAAAGTTGAGAACCACCGAAACACACATGAATATATATATATATATACACACACATATATATATACACACACCCCCACACACATACCCATACCCACACATGCATCTATTATAGTATATAACTTCCATATAGATTCCATCTGGAGATGTAAATTCTGTAATTCAACCAGAATGGTTAGTCATGTCAGTAAGCTACTGAGCATATTTAACATTTAAACACATTATAGCCTGATTGGGAACTCACTTCTCTTGAAACTATTCAGTAAATTTCTGTTTTTAGTAAATTCAGTGGCAAAGCTTTCATTGCCCTCAATAATTCAGGATTTCATCCTGGTCTCTTAGGTCCTGAAAAAGCCCATTCCAGTACTTGACCCCCCTCAGAATCAGAAAGGTCCTCTTAATCTCCAACTAAATTTCTTCTAATGCAGTTTGAAATTCTTTCCCCTGCGACCACAGAGAAAAATATATCTCCATCCTTTTCATAATCACAGAGAGTGTCTAACTATTTCTTAGATACTTTTTCATATTCTAGACCATAAAAAGTCTGTTAGTGGGCACATCTACACATGCATTAACACGCTTTAGTTAATACACATTAAATGTGGTACTTCTGGGTGCCTATACATGAGCGCCGAGGCTGCTCCAAACACTGTAATTCCAGCATGTCAGAGCAAATTTGATTAATTGAGTGGCAGTTTCCATGCTCCAGCAGCCCAAGTGAAGGGATGCTGATACATGAGGCATGGCGGCACTTTAATTAGAGTGGTTCTCAGACCCACGTGCAATTAAGCGCCAGCCCTCCCTACCCCCGAAGCACATGTAAAAGTACCCTCCATTGTGAAGTTCTATGAAAACGCCCATTAGCCTGCTTTAAGGCACATTAACTAAAGAGCAACTGTGAGAATTGTTTGATTGTGTATATATATATATACATTCATGTGTGTTTCAGTGGTTCTCAAGTTTTTTAGACTCAAGTCTTCCTTCATTAGACTCAGGGAACCCCCTCAGAAAATGCCAGATCCTATTTTTCACTGTTTTTTTTTTTTTAATATAAAATATAATCAAACAATTCTCAAAGAACTCACAAAGATCACAACCTGTCAGAATACTTAAAACTGTTTTAAGTGATGCTTAATGCACATTAGCCTATTTTAATGTGCATTAACTGAATAGCAAGGTTTTTCAGTGATGTTTTAATGCACATTAAAATAGGCTAATATGCATTAAAGCGCACATGCAAATGCCTCCCTTGGGTCTTATTTTCTGAGCAGTCCCACCTCTCCCCTAAGACTGTTATTTATGTTTACTAGCTACTCTTTTCTATGCTAACATCAACTATGTTTAGGCTCTTGAAAGTGATGGTTATTGAGAAAGCTCAATGATTACAAGAGAAGACCCTGCATTTTCATAAAAGGATAGTTCTCCAGAGCCAAGTTTACTGCTCTTTGCTTATTGTTTTCTTTCTAAAGATGCAAGGGTATCATATGTATTTGATACTTAAACTGACCCCCATTACAGGTTCCTCACATAAGCTGTTTTTTAATCATATATGTAGACTCATTAACATTAGTTTTCAAAAATACATTGCTTAAAAATCATAAAATTGTTTGTTTTTAACCAACTTAGAGTATGACAATATGTTTCCACTCTGGTCATTTTATATTTAGGTATGGATTGTGATTCCTTTACATTCAGTAGTGTCTTATTCCTCAAATTGTCCTACTGAAATGAGTGAGACTACATTGAGCGGTAGAATTCTAGTCAGTGGGTGCACCTACACATTCAATTAATGCAATTCAATAAACTCTAGAGCTCTTTGAGATGGAGTCAACTGCTCCTGGTGCATTGTCTACGTCTGTACCTGAGACAGCAGCATTTTTTGAGCCAGAGTAGATCTGGGCTGGCAGCAGGCTCAGGAGGACAGCCCTGTGTTCTGGGTGTCAGTGGTGGGTGGTGGAGGGACTGCCTGGGGCACAAAGGTACAGAACTGTGGAGCCATGTGGCTGGATGGCAGGCAGGAATCTGGCCCCTACCTTGTCACCATCTATATGTGCATTTCAGTGCAGTAAATGACTTTGCCATAAGATAGTATTGTTCCTGGTGGAGTTAATTAATGTACTGCACCCTAATTCCAGTGCATGTGTAGACTGTGTAGACTGTAGTACTTTACTGTGGAGCTAATTAGTCAACTTTGCAGTAAAGTGCATGTGTAAATACACCCAGTAAAAGTAAAACTATTAAAATCTTTTATTTATTTATAAATACATTACATCTTTCAGCGATACTGGTATCTGCAATCAAAAGGAAATAAAGAGCTCAGTGACATAATATTTTATAAATAAAACCTCTACTGTTAAAAATAAACCTCATTCAGAGAGTCAGTTTATACACCTAACTGAATGATCAAGTCTTACACTTACCTAAAACTCTAGAGTTTCTAGAAGTGAGGGCCTTCCTGTGAACATCTGCTGCTTCAAGAACAGGACTCAGGCAGTGAGATCATGCAGATACAAGGGAGATTCTATTGTATAAAATGGTGTTCAATATGTAAGAGGGCTGTGATGCTCAACTTCTTTTGGTTTTTTATGGGGTATAGGAACGTGTTCCAGACAGTCCTTCTCCTGCTCCTTCCCTTGAAGAGGGTCGAAGACCTGGTAGCCATCCATCATCTCACAGAAGCAGCAGTGTATCCAGCTCGCCTGCACGGACTGAGAGCTCTTCAGACCGAATCCGTATGTCACATTCTTTTGCTTGTCACCAGTTTAAATCCGATTAGTTGTAGCTGTTCTTTTCTTTAAAAAAAATCAAAATGAACTCATTGTAAGTAGTTCTTATATATAATGTGCTGAAGTTCAGCTGCAGTAACTATCTGTGGACATTATATTCTCTGGTTTACAGTATCATAATGCCTGATGCTACATTAGCAGGTACTGATACAAATTGCCATCATGTCATATTAAACATAAAGATATGAGCTATGAAATATAGAATTACAGCTGGAAAGCAATTTCCTAGATTAGTTTTAGAACAGGATGTATAGCAATTGGAAATATATAGATATTTTAGGGAATTTAGTTTTATTTAATCCTGCTATCATACTTCTGTTGATAATTAAATGCAATTTTAGAGGTGACATTTTACATGATAAACTGCTTTAAAAATAATTCAAGAATTCAGTTAAATCAATTACCAGGCTTCAGTTTTTAAATTTGATAAATATAAAAATAGATAATGATGGGGGTATTATCACCTCATGACTTGCAAAGGATAGAGTGAATTTAGACCATGCTATCTCAAAGTAATGCCATTTTTATCAAGCCTCTATGTCCAGGATATAAATTGTATGGCAAAGACCCAGGATTCTAAAATATTCCAGTATAACAGGCTGGAAATTGAGGTTTTCAACCAATATTATTTTATTAATACCACAATAAATGTATTCTACACTGCTTCTTCTTTTCATTATTGCTATGCTTCTGAGTTTTATACTGACAGCACATCACTGCAGCACAGAAATGGGCAAAGAGCAAATCTGGGGTCTTTGGCACCTAGCTTGAAGACACTTTATATTTTGGTTTCTGTGTAAATTTAAGAAGGCACTTTGGGGATGGTTGTTAGATAAGAGGTTAGCTGGCTTTTTTTCTGAAATAGTCACCTGTGAAAGTAGATGGCAATGAAAATAATGCTCCATTCTTTTATAGATGAAAAATGTTTTCAATGGTAATAAGCTGGATCCTGGTTTTCTTTGATGAAAAATATCCTCAATTTTTGGTTTAAAAAAATTAACTCAAAATCCACATTTTTATGATTAAAATGAAACAGCACTATATTTAGATATAGATACATATCTATATCTAAATTTAGTGCTTTCATTTTAATCATAAAAATGTGGATCTATATCTATTTAGAGATCTATATCTATTCTAGCCAATTGTCCGTCAAGAATGACACGGGGGGGGGCAGGGATGGAGTGCCACCACCTAATGCCCCATGCTGCTGCTGTTCTGCCTCTTGCAGGGACCAGGGTGGGGGAGCTGAGGTCAGTGCTGCTGGCTTCAGCTCCCCCACCCCCTATTTGGTCCTTGGCACCACTTGCCGGGAGTGGGGTTGGGGAGCCAAGGCTTGGCTCCCCCACCCTCCATCCAGTCCTCAACATGGCTTTGGAAACATGGCAGCACTCCTCCATGCTTGGAGCCCTCTGATTGGCTGTTTCTGTCAGCCAATCAGAGTGTGAATAAAGTGTTATGGACAGACAGACCGACAGATAGACAGATTTAAGCTTTTATAATATTAGAATATAGGGATAGAGATCTATCTATCTATCTATCTATCTATCCATATAGATAGATATAGATATAGATATCTATATATCTATGTATTAGTGGTGTTTCATTTTAATCACAGACAAATGTGGATTTTGGGTTACTTTTTTTAATCTGAGAATTTAGGCTTTTATTTTTATCAGAGAAAACCAGGCTCCCTGGTTATTATACAAAACTGCTTACTTTCCCAGCCTTTTATCTGGAGTATGAGAACTAAAGTAAAGTTTTGTATTCTGACATTGACACTAAACTAAATTTTTATTTTAAATTTTTATTTTTAATAGGCTGTATAAACCTGTTGCAATGTCCCCTAAAGTCAATTGAAAGACTCCCGCTATCTTTACTGATGCTGGGTCAGGCCCTCTGGAGTTGATTCTTAACAACATTAGAAATTTAAATTAATAAGTTTAAGACTAGTTCCTATAATAGCATGTTTTATCACTATAAATGCTTCCAGTTTTATTGAGGTTTTCCTTTTTCAAAGTCTCTTGCATCTTCACAAAAATACATTCACTAATTTTTAAAGCAGTGATTCTCAGCCAGGGATCCATGGCACCCTGGGATGCTCTGACAGCCTTTAAAAGGTGTTGTTGGCAGAGAGGTGATAAGCAGATACTCTCTCTTGAGATTATCTTTTCCCCTTTTCTCCTTTCCAGGGGCCTTGGCTATAAAAATGATTGAAAACTACTGATTTAGACAAAGTAATACTTTTTCTTATATACACTTTATTAGGTTTTAAGTGGTTTTCAGTAGCCAAATCTACACATGCACTTTACTGCAGAGTAGGCTACTTAGCTGCAGAATAGTGTCAGTGTCTACACATGTGACAGTATTAGGCCACAGTAAACTAATTAGTGCTGCAGCAAGGTAGTACTGTCAAGGACAGTACTATCTTATGCTGAGGTAATATACTGTGATTAAATGCATGTGTACACACTGACCACAAGCGTAGGTCAGCCCAGCCAGCTGGGAGTCAGACTCCTGCCTGCTGCCTAGCCATGTGGTTCTGTGCTTTCAGCACTCTCATGCCCCAGCCAGCCCCTCTGCCACCAGACACTTCCGCCTTGGGCTGACCCCCTGTACCCTCTTCTAGCCCAGGGATGCTCTGCCCTGGCTCAAATTGCTGCTGACCTGTGCACATGTGTAGATGGTGTGCCCTGGAGTAGTTTACTCTGGCTCAAATTGCTCTGGAGTTTATTGTTTCTCATTAATTGAATGTGTACATTAGGCTCATGTGGGTGCATCTACACATGAAATTAATGCACCTGAATAAACTGTGGTGCAGTTCATGTAGGAGTTTATTGCTCCCAGGTGCTGCATTTATGCATGTACCCAGAACCACAGCACTTTGTGCCAAGTCAGAGCAGCCCTGTCTGGCAGGGGCCCCAGGAGGTCTTCCCGCCAGCCCAGGGCTACTCTGACTCAGTTCAACATGTGGAGGGGCTCGCGGGGGCACAAGGGTGCTTCAGTGTGGGGCTAGCCAGAAGACAGCTCCCACACTGAAGCACCCTTGTGCCCCAGTCAGATCCATTGGTGCCTACACATGCATTGTGGTGCACTAAGTAGTGCTGCTTCAGGATAGTACTTGTGTTTACAAGTACTAACCTACAGTGGAGTTAATTAGTTTACTGTAGTCTAATGAGGCCACATGTATAGATGCTGAGACTTTACTGCAGAGCTAATTAGACAACTCCAAAGTAAACATCTCATGTAGGTGTGCCCAGTATAAAGAGATTTCAGGACTAAATTTCTAGCTAATGCTGATGGGGCAATTTACTACCTTCAGTGAAGTTGCACCAGCTTACTTTATATCCAGCATTAACTTCTTAACTTTTTTTTAATCACTGGATATTTAAAAACTATTCCACAATATGTTCAAAATATTTCACTACATTCTAGACTCCCATTTGGCCAGAGTAAGAAATTCTTTAGCAAGATAATCTCAACCAACACAATGCTTGAAAACACTATGGATAATTATAACCCTTTCTTCTGCATGCATTTCAAATTTTTTTCAGGGTAAGGCGTGTTTATCTCAGATGTTTCTTGTTGCTAAGCTGGTGAACTGGCTGCAGTTTTCCTTTAAGGAAGGTCATAGTATTTAGCTCCCAGATTCTCCCTTTATTCCATATATAAATTTTACCACAGCATTTGAAAGCTTTGAGTTATATAGTACAGCTTAATTGGTTAACTTTATTTCATTTTGGGACAGACGTTGATGTGAGATGCGTTCTGTGGATGCCAAGAGAAGAGCTGGTTATCCCTGTGAGAGCCTTTTTCTTGTGAAGAAATGTAGGACCTCATTCAGAATAACTAGCCTCTGTAGTTTTGAGGGTGTTACAAATTCTATGACTTTCCCAAACTCCCAATTTGTAGGAATTATTCTTTATTCTGTATTCCAAAGATTTGATTTCCCTTGTGTAACCATTGGATGATGCTGTTAGTTATGGCTCCTCAGCCGTCATCTCTGCCCTACTACTGTCAATTCACCTCAGAGTTAGAAAGATATTATTATAGTTGAATAAAAATTATAGTCTGAGGATGACCATTTAAATGGATTAATCAAGCCTATTACAAGATTTCCATGATGTCAACTGTAAAAGGGTGTTTGTGTCTGAAGAAAATACAACCCAGACCCAGCCAACCTTACATTTTCCCAGTTCCATGGGAATCAATGAAGAGTAGGGAGTCACATCTCTTAGAAACTTTAATTTAGGAAGTATAGCCTTTTAAACTTGCCTCCGAACAGTGAGGGGCAAAATCTGCCAACACTACCCCCCTTAAGAATTAAGGTAACAGGGTCCCTTGGCACTGTACCAGCTTAAGAATTTATTAATTTATTTTAAAACAAATATACACCTTCTTCCTCTTGTCACTCTATATCCAGCTCTGATAACTATTTTCTCATGTGTGAGGAGGGGGCAGCAAAAACAAGAATGTTCCTACATAGATGGGGATCAGACCTGAGAAGGGGTTGAGGAATTTTCTTACAAAAGGCATCTCATCCTCTTGCACATCTGGATTATATGGGTTTCTCAGGTTTATGTGAGCTGTGCCTGAGCTGTGCTGAATAGGGGCAACAGAACATATGTATGGAAAAGACCTTCTAAACTACATGTTCAGTCCTCCTACTATGTAATATTATTATCCCCTGGTGTGTATTTTTTTTTTTAAAAAGAGGTCTTACAAAGCAGGCCTTTAGTTTGTGGCACTTAGTGTGCTAATACACAGAAACTTTATACCACTTAATACAAATAAGACCTTATTTGTCTCTGAAGGCATTTCTCAGTTTGTTCCCATTTTGTTGCCTTTATACCACTTAATGCAAATAAGCCTTTATTCTTTTCTCAAGACATGTCTCAATTTCTTGGCATTTCGTTGCCTTTCATTCTTTTCCAGAATGTTTTTAAATACTCGAGGGGGAGAGGGAGGGAGGGAACAAAGTTACCAAAGCCAACATTTTTTAAATGAACCATTGAAGAAAGAACAATAATACGAAAAGGGGGTTATCTCTGAAATAATTTTGATATCACTTTGGTGTTATTAGTTTTCTTGGATGATTGAGACAGATAGGGCTAGATTCTATCCCATCTATTAGGCATGTAACTGGACCGAAACACCAAAGTGTGGTTTTCTTCTACCCTGTTCAAATCCCTGAAAATCTATTAATCCACTAATGTCAGTAACAGATACACTTCAGATTGAGTCATCAAAAACGTAGGGAGGAAGAGGAAGACCCATTCACCACTAGTATTTTTTCAGAAACTCAAGCAGAATAGAATAGAATCACGCTTATGTGACTAATTCCATCTAGATGTGCCTAATAGGTAGAACAGAATCTAGAACATTGCATACAAAAATACAAAAAGAAGTAACTGTAGGTTTGTTTGTGTAGGGGTTTAATATTATTATTGTCTTTGTTTTCGTATGTGTCTCTAGCAGCTGTCCATCAGAATGGGCTCTCCATGAATCAGATGCTAATGGGTTTGTCACCTAACGTCCTACCTGGTCCTAAAGAGGGTGATCTGGCTGGTCATGAGGTTGGGCATGAGACAAAAAGAATACACATTGAAAAAGGTAAAACGAATGTGATATTCTTCCTATTGTAATAAAAACAAAAGGTTATGGCCCAGATATTAGTGGCTACATAATAAGATTATTATTAAATATTGCTTTAATACTAGTATGTTGTGGAATAAGTGAAATCTTGATGGGACCATGGATTTTTTGGAATACCCCCGGTCTATCACCTAGACTAATATGGACTATGCTTTATAGCAAAAGCTATAAAGATGGAGAAAGGATGAGTACAGCAAATGTTGGCCTAAACTAATTCCTCATGGTCTAGGTAGATGATTGATTCTTTAATAGTATTTTAATGAGAGCTAAGAACACTGTTAGGTAATTGCTGCAACTATAGTTCTCCAATGAAATATATGCCACTTAAAGTCCATCATCTTGTGATGCATTTTGGTGATCTGATTTTTCTGATATGACAACACATAAAAATTAAGACCTGTGAAGAAAGAAGCAAGGTTAATACCTGGCTTTACACTAGCCAACAGCAAAAAAACAAATCTGGTGAATATTGTGAGATTTATTTTAAATTTGATCGACTAAATGAGTGCAAGTTTCTGCTCTAGATTAATAGTCTATTAATGTTTATATTGATCAAGTTAGCATCTCATCATGTTGAGTATACAAATTTATTCCATTCTCTATATAACTGAAATATTAAGTTAGAAGCCAGGGTAGATTTGCACCTTCATAGACTAACTAAATCAGATGTATAGCATAAGCTTCCATAAGCAGAGGGTTTATTTTTTCAGTCTCTGATAAAATAAGCCCTATGAAAGTTTATGCTGTATATCTGATTTAGTTAGTCTAAGAAGCTAGGTACAGACATTAAGAAAGTCTGAAGTGGAATTAAATTTGCAGGGTTTTCTGTAAGCAGTGTAGTTTAGATCAGTAGTGAACAGAACACACATTTGCCCTTTGGTGGAGTGGACAGGGTTGGTGGCACCATTAGACTGGGTTCCACCATTATTAAACCAGCCTATGTGCACCTAACTTTTGTTCTGTTCTCTTATGGTTATAGACCAGTTTTCGATCACTTATACCAGTAAAAGTGTAATGTCTCTACCTGGTCTAAAGGTGTAGATCTATACAGTCTTCTGAACCTAGACTAAGATGTCTAATTCCCCTCTCTCTGCTAGCGAAGTAATAAGACAATTCTTCCAGATATGATTTGCACAAAGTTTTCATTTAAACTACGTAAAGCATTTAGTAATCTTTACAGAGTGGGAAAATGGAGTCATTGGTAGAGGGACTAGAAATAAGAGTTTCCCTTAATAAAAATATTCTTTAGCATAGGAGAATCAGGAGAAATCAGGTCTTTTGAATGAACTGAGCAAAGAAGGCTGTCAGTGCAGTACAGCTGGGAAAAAAATGGCTGTTAACAAAAAAGATTTCAGAACAGGACACTCTGTGCTCTATTTTAATAGCTATGAGAGGTTACCTTCTCAGTCCTGTGTTTGAACTTTGAGATATGGGAAGAGAATTAAAATCTGGACAGTTCCATTTTGGACAGGTGGTATTTTTAATAAGATTACCCTAAAATTAATGAAAACAACATTTCTTTTATATAAACTATTAATTTTGCTTCGTTGCACACACAACCTGTTTTAGCTTCTTATGTGCCCTCACTCAGCCCTGCAAATGGTATCCCTGCTGAGAAGTATGATGTGATCAAATTGTTTTGAATTTCAGTAAATGTTTTAACTTCAGCCCATATTTTCCCAGTGTAGTGTAGTCAGCCTGGTAAAACCAACACAATGTGGCACATATTGTTGTCATATATACACAATTTCTCTCTTAAAATTATGACTTTTGTTTTTAGTGTTACCACAAATGTATCTCTCGATGCCATCACCAGTTCAGGGTAGCTATTAAATCTGGTGTCATTGAAACTCCTAAGGATTTTATTTCTTCAGCAGTCATTGTTTAGGTCAAACCATCTATTTTTCCTTCTCTTTCTCCCTCTCTGTTTCAGCCTATTGAATTTATGGTAAATATTCATGGGCTATCTAGATTGATAGGGTATACTAAATTAAAAATTGTTTTCTGTCATGACTACATTTATCATGTCTCTCATACCAGCGCTGTAACTTTTATACTAAACTTATCTGTGTTAAAACAAGTGATTTCAGTTACAGATATTTGTGAAGATAGTAATTATCTGTTTGTGTCACTATGGCCCTGCAGTTCAAATATTCAGCTTCCTTTTATCACTTCTAATCAGTCAAATAGTAATTATTATATTAAAAAATACAAACAAAACCAACTCAGGCATGTATATTCTTAGGCTTGAAACTGTTTGTCCTTATCATCTGACTTAAAAAAAAAAAAGCAGAAGTTTTGAATGAGTCATTAAGCATTTATGCATTACTCTATTTTCTTCTGAGACACATTTGTGTCAATCTATCAGCTAGAACTAGAATGACTTTTAATTACAGCTGTGAGAACTTGGGAAATCCCACCTGGTGAAAAAGCCTCTGTCTCTTTCCTTTTTGTCCCCACCTCTATTTTTTAAAAAACAAGAAGCTCTCCAAGGTCCTGAGCTTAGGGAGAATTTAATTAAAATCAATGGGAAATTTAAATGGGAGAAAAAGTTTTAGTAGTGAAAAGTAATAAACACATTACATTTTAAGTAGGTATAAGTGAAGCCAGAAGGGGCCAGTCGTCATTTAAGTGATGGGCTGGGTCAAGGAGAGGAATCATCCTGTATCCTTGGCAAAAAGGAGCTAATCTACCTCTCCTGTAGCTGTGTTGTATAGCATAATGATTATAGATGCAGTGCATGTGCAGCTGCTTTTTGTTCATTTAATTTGCCCATTCCAAAGTGGTGTGATCTGTCTGGATTTCTTTAAAACACTCGGTTAGCCAGATCTGTTATTCTTAGCAGAAAGAATCAGTTTATTTTAATATGGTGGAAACAAAAAAGGAATAATGACTAGTAAATCTTTGGGATTTTTTAAACCAGTTTTTCACACATTTAATTAATTCTGTCATGTGACCCTCTAAAGTCTATTCAGTCTTAGGGCCTTACATCCCAAATGGTTGAATGACCTCAGCTCCTGTTGAAATCAATATGCTGTTACTTCTGTGGGACTTGGAGTTGATTCTCTGAGACATGTAGTGTAATTAATGATGGATGACTGGGGTACTAGTCATGGGGGCAAATTCTGATGGTGTGACCCAAGTCCCCTCTGCCTGCGAAAGTGAAGGCCTCCCTGGTATATATTCACCTGCTCCCTGCATTCCTCTGTACCTGAACTACAGCTCTGCAGCTCTGAACTACATGGCTGCCCTTACTGCTCTCACTGCCCCTTCCTGGCAGTTGGTGATAACTGGAATCAATGCTGGGAGTAAAGAGAGGTAACTGCAGTAGGATGGCATGAGAATGATAAAGCAGCCCCCAGCACAGAGCAGGGAGGGCTGGTGTGGTAGCAAGTTACTTGGGAACTGAAAAGATGTGGTTCAGGAACAGAGGAGCAACAGGGTGGTGAAGAAGGATTTGAGGCCAGGGCACAAAACTTAGTAATTATGCCTCTGCATGGGACTGATCCAAAGCTTATTAAAATCAGTGGATAGGCTGGATCAGACCTAGAGCAATACTTGTAGCAGTAAATGCTTTAATGGCAAAATAGGAGGAGTACCTGTTCTCAAGACAGCTTTTACCTGATACCTTAGGAAAGTAAATTATTCTACATTTTTTGTCTATCTTCTCGATCACCAGAAGGCAACAGTTTTTCCAGATTCACTGAAAATGTACTGCAAAATTGCAAATGATCCTAGGAAGGAGGATAGTTTAAATACTTGACAGCAGTCATCTTCAAGACAAGTTGTCCTCATCTTGGCAGCCTTCACATTAGATATACTTTCATGATACATGTATCTTTAAAAAATTAAGTATGATTCCACAAAAAGGCATTAGTATATAGTGGTGGAGGTTTGTATTGGGTAATGCAGAAAAGACTAATTCAGCTTTTGTCAACTCCGTGCTTAAGTTGACTCAGAACTGTTGCAGGTAATAAAAGAAGCATTGATTAATCATCACCTCTTCTAGCTGCCTTTACAATACAGGAGTATGCCTGCTCAACTTTTCAAAAGAAAAGGATAGTTGCTGACCTTTGAGAGAGAGTTGCAGAGTGAATGAAGGTGTCTTCATTCAGCCAAGGAAATATCTGGGAGTGTAGGCATTTATAACTCACCTGTATCCTCAGCATTTCCCTACTGGCTAGCTCTAGGCAAGTGCATTTTGAGCATGCTATCTTTAGGCACTTCCCTGCTCAACATGTTGGATGTTTTGGATATGATTCTGAAGGGCACAACCCTCACCATCAATTTTGTATGGAGTGTAGAGTTTGAGATTCCAGTTTGGAGCCAAGTGCCTGAAAGTTAGATGCTGAAATGTCTAGCTTTTAGATGCCTAAGTCCTTTATTGGATCTGGCCCTAGGGCATCAGATTAGAATCTTCTATCTGCATCAATTTATATTTTTTAGATTGACACCAATAGTAAATGAAGCCTGAATGTCATTCTTACATTTTAAATTGAATACGCTATTTGAGGTGTTATGGAAAGGACACTCTACTGTTGAAAACTGTGTATGCTCACTTCAGTTTCTGTGATAAAATATTCACTACCTTCACCACAGAATCTAAACTATTCCCATTATAAATTTGTTTTAACCTTAGTATTAATGGAACTATTGTAAGTGATTTTCATGTGATCCACATGAACCTTTTTTAAAATGCTCTTGCACTTGTAATTCAAGTAGATCACAATCAGAAACTTGCATATTAAACATTCCCAATAATTGTTTTCACTTTATGTGAATATATTTTATGCAACTTCTTCAGTATATGCAAATACATATTTTGTGCCCATCTATCTGGATGTGAACAATTCCAGATATCCAATCAGTTTGTGTCCTACATTTATGCCACCTATCTTGAAAAAGAAAAAAAAAATCA